ATATATATATTACACCCAGTCCCGACGCGACCTAGGCCCGGTCCCGGAACCTACCCGGGCGATACTGGGCCTCCAACTCCTAACCTCAGTCCTGCCCATGACCCAACCCGGGCCAGGTCCACACCTACCTCCTCATGTCTCTATTAGTAGGACGGAAGTCGTATTTAAAAATACGCACAACAAATTAACAAATTAACAAATTAACATTATGTCATTTATATTGTTTACTACCTCCGTCCCTCTAAGTTTGGGACAAGAGAAGGTGACACGGTTATTAATAAAAGTGGGTTTATGTGGTTGGTATTGAATTGATAAAGTAAGAATAAAGTAGGAATGATTTAGAACCACACCAACTTTACCTAATAAGGTATGTGACAATCTTAGTGGGACGAACCGAAATGGTAAAATGAGACAATCATAGCGGGACGGATGGAGTACAATTCATACTCCCTCCGTCCTCGAAAGAAGTTCCCACTTTCCTTATTTGGATGTCCCTAATTTAAGTTCCCATTTCCTTAAATGGAAAGTTATCTACATTAAAACAGTGCCAAACAGTGCAAAACAGTGTCGAAACAGTGTCAAAACAGTAAAATTTACCCCTGGTAAGTTTACATGCATAAAAGTGTGTGAAAATCAAATGGAGAACTTCTTTCGGGGACGGAGGAAGTATATGATTTGTATATACTAGATTAGACTTTTATGTAGTTGGGCATATCGGGCCCAGCCCATTGTATTTCTATTTATACTCCCAAAGAGAGCTCATGTAAACATAAGTTCATAGAGCATAAGTCACAATTCATTTACTCAATATAACACATTACTGTTCATCTTCTTCTACACTCTCTAGCTCAAATCTCTCCTAATTATATATGCTTGGATCCCTATAATCCATAATTTGGTGCTCTAGTTGAAAGTTTGAGCATACTCAAGTGAAAAATGCTCCCAAAACATCCAAAATTAGTCCAGTCCAGTCCTCCACCGCTCGCCGTTGGCAGAGGGGGTTCTTGGCCAGACTCGTCATTGCCTCTGAATCTCGCCCCAACTTTGGAGGCGCCCATCGCTGCAACACGCCGGTTTCCGGTCGCAGCTCAACGCTCCACCTCCATTGCAGCTCTGGAAGGATCACCAATCTTTGGCCTCAGATTCTGGTCGCACCAGCCCCCTAGCGAAGGTATGAAATTGTGACGACATGTTCGAATCCATGGAGCTCCTCGGTTGAGTCAGAGCTATGGTGTTGCCTTCCATTCGAACCAGTCAGAAAACCGCCTGAGTCGCAGCACCTCCGCTCTTCGTTCGTTGTTTGCTGCAAACTTGTCGCTTCCCGCCACGGACAAGAAGGAAATGGCACCTCACCCCCAGGTGAGACCCTCTCCGACATCAATCTTAAAGATCGGGGTTTGTGGTGCCCGTGAGCCCGTGATCGTGCTCGCCGGGAGTTCCTTTGGCCGAAGGCTTCAAAACGAGGGCTTTTCGCAACCGCATCGATCTGATCTTTGGCTCCGGCCAAGTCATACCCATGACATCAATTAGGGCAGTGCTTACCAAGCCAAAGAAAGTGGGCCAGCCCAATTCCAGAAAGCTAAGTGTTCCACGACTTCCTCCATATAATTTGCAATTATATAATACATTTGATAAAAAGATTTACCGAAATAAAACTAAAAATGAAATATTAATAATATAGCATCAAATTTCAATCTCAAGGGACGAGTCATCCGTTAAAACATCCCCAAAAGCGCGCATCTGACGGATTCAAACTACGAACTTGAGTGGCACGTTGAGTTAGATTATTAATTTATTATAAATACTTTCAAAGACTTACAAAAATCGTACAAATGAAAAATTAATAATATAACATCAAACTTAAATCGCAAGGGGCGGTCATCTGTTAAAAGACCCCTAAAAGCGCGTGTTTGGCAAGTTGAGTTAAATTATTAATTTATTATCATTATTATTTAAGTACACACTCTAGTTTCTATGTTCTGTACGAGTTATGTGTGCCCCCTAACCATCAGAATCAGATTCTAGCTTAGAAATCTAGTTTGAAAATTTGAGGCCATTTAACGTAGGCCCAAATCCAATAGATCAAGAAATTATAACAATTTTATTTGAATGCATAGGTGCAATTAAATAATGACTTGGATTTTATATCGGCCCCTCGGCCATACTCCTAGTCATCTTTATTTGATGATCCTGACATCATTATGGACGATCGCTCGACCCATCTCTACGTCATCTTTATTTGATAAGTAAGACTACTTATCATGTAAAGCTACACACATAAGAAGACCGGTAATGTCGAGCGACTGTTGCAGCTCCACACCTAAGCTGAAGGAGTCACCCTTTTGCTTCATTTTTGGGGCATCCGGTGTACTCTTTTTCTTTCATTAGGATTTTTTCCCACAGGGTTTTTCCTAGTGAGGTTTTTAATGAGACATCTCCCCAACGTAGACAAATGGTGCCGACCCACGGCCTCTGTCGAAGACATCACAAGACATGCATTATTCTACTCTTCTTCACCTCACTACATTCACCTCAAGGAGTGGGGGGCTGAAAGAGCGTGGGACATAACGCCTCTGTTAATCGAAGAAGCACAAATTCAAAATTTTTCACGAAGTTTACTCGCCAAACGACAACAGATCATCACACAGTTCTACTCCCTTTCGCCTCGAGTATTCTCAACTCAGGGAGTGGGGGACTCCTGATAGAGTATATAGACCCGGACACCTGGGTCTCACGACTATGGGGCCTGGACAGCGGCACACACACGCCTACTAGATATCATTTATATTGTTGTACAATTCATATATAATTTGTATATACTAGATTAAACTTTTATGTAGTTGGGCGTATCGGGCCCATATTAGTGGCTCAGCCCGTTGCATCTCTATTTATACTCCCAAAGGAAACTCATGTAAACCTAAGTTCATAGAACATTAGTCACAATTCATTCACTCAATATAACACATTACTATTCATCTTCTTCTACACTTTCTAGCTCAAATCTCTCCTAATTATATATGCTTGGATCCCTATAATCCATCAAAATCATAATTAAATGAAGGTGTTTTAACATGAATATTTCTAAAATTTGGGTAATGGATGAAAAAAGAGACATTGTTTTCATTTCCAAAAATGTGGTTAATAAGTACTTAGTATTAAACATATACAAAGTACTAAATTATGCCTAATGACTTCATCTGATGGTGACATGACTCGACATAGTGATCACTGCCTCAGCGATCACCTGGGCAGTGACCACCATTGGTTTTTGTGACAACTACAACTACCATATATCTCTTAGATCTATTACGAGAAATGAATCTTTTCTTATATCAACTACAATTCTATATGTTTCGTGATGCACCCAATACACGATGTTTCTGCATCAATTAGAGTGCAAGCGTTGGTTATGGTCAAAGTACTATCACTATGCACATTAAGTATGTATTGACCTCAAGTCGAAAGACTATTACACTCTTTTATACGAGGATAATCCCATAAACACATAAATAGAAGTTATTCAATGGTTTTTGGTCGTATGTCAATATTCTCTAAAGTGCTTATGTGACCTTCATTAATTATAGTAACTCATAGTTGTGACTTGTGAGTAATGTTGGACTCAGACCGGACCGGTACCGACCCCAGACCGGAATTGTGTGACATCGGCTCGGGACCGGTTCACCGGTACGTGACCGGCGATAGGACCAAACGATCGGCGGTCACGGGCTTGGGTGCAGGAAATGAGGACTGGACCGGGAGGCCCCGGATCCGGTTCCAATCCCAACTGCTACTATTCAAAAAAAATAATTAAAGGTGGGGTTAAGGGGCATATAGTCATTGGCAACGACCATATAACGGCTATATGTCTAAGGGGGTTGGGGTTGGGGATGGGGGTAGACAAAACTATAAATACCCCTATTTATAAACATTTTCCAACACATGTTGTCCAATTCTCCCTACTCTCTATTCATTTTCACACTCATACTCTCTAATCATCTTCATACTCTCCGATTCTCTTTACACAATTATTTATATTCTTATATTTACTTATAATAAAATGTATCATATCTACTTATATTAGTTATATACTTATATCCGTTTATATTTAAATATATTATTATATCTACTTATATACTTATTAGCTACTTATATTTACATATATTATATTTACTTATATATTAAGTATATATTTTAAAGTATTAAATATAAGTTACTACTCATCTTATAGTAGTATACTTATATATTATATACTATTAAATTTATACTAGATATTAGTTACTTTAATTATACTTACATTAATCTATGGAAAATTTGATTCTAATAATCCCACCTTTAACCGATCTTCCTAAAATGGTCCCTCTTTTAAGTAATCTGAAATAAATACCACCTTTCTATTCGGTCTTCTATGTTTGGTCCCAACCTGGTGTTAACCCGCAGCTATGGGTGGATTCGGGCCGGGCCGGCGGTTCAGAATTGGTGGACCCGGGACCGGCCCGGGTAGCCACCAAGTCCGTTCCGGGCCGGGCCGGGCCTTCGGTTTGCCTTTTTTTTTTTGCTTTCCTAACCCCCCAACCCCCAAACCCCTCCTAACCATCAAGCCCAACCCGGGTGGAACCCCAAAAAATGAAAAAAAAATAACAATTTGGCCCGGACCCGGACCGGTTCGCCAATAGTAAGACCCGAGCCCCCCCCCCCCCCCCCCCCCCGGACCTAGGCCGGACTTGAGAACCAGTCTGGTCCCGCACAGTAGCGGGTCGGGCCGGGTGGCCCGACCCGAATCCACCCCTACCCGCTGCTGCAGGTAATTAACCCGTAAAATTGGAAACGCCGTCGTTCTCTTTATAACCTAAGCAGTCTTATGCTCTCCAGTAGTCATCGCGCTTACTCTGTAATTCTACAAGTAAGAATAGGCCAATTCCTTCTTCACTCAATTGTCAATTATATTGGAGATTGCGAATTTTCTTCACTCCTCGAACTCATCAAGGATTACTTTACTTGACAGAGAATATCTCCCATTCAATCGCTTAGAGATAGGAGAAAGAGAAAAGGGGAAGGAAGATCAATTAAGGTAAACACATCATTCATATCATTAATCGTTTTTATTCTATCATATATATCCCTAATCTTTGACTGGTTTTGATTTTCTACTTTTTAGAGTTACCATAATGGATTAGCTATTTGGATAATTGGAGAGCTCTTAAATCTCTGAGAGCAGTTTTAGGTTGGATTTATTGACATTAAGAATTGAAAGGCTAGAATGAACAGTACTCGCAGAGCTACAGTAAAAAAAACATATAGATATTTTATTTTAGCTTCCTTTGTAAGCCAAGTGTGTTTTGTTTCTAGAGCAGCTCTGGCCTATTCTACTACTTTCTCTATTTAACCTATTGTAATGATATTATTTTGATCTAAGGAAAAAGTATCTCCTTCTTTACTCGTTTCTCTCATCTCTCTCGCTTGTTCCTTTCTTAGTTCTTCATTTTCTTACATAGTATCAGAGCCTTGAAGCTCCTGATTACTTATTTCCCTTCCGCAAACTTACTCTGTTACCTGAAGATGGAGCCGCACAGACCATTGATGATTCCAGTTACTCTCAAGGGTCCTAACTACATCACTTGGTCAAGATTCACAAAGACAGCCCTGGGTGGAAGAGGTTTATGGGAGCATATCACTTCAGGTGAAGCACCAAAGCAAACCACTCAAGGGGAAGATGGCAAGGAGGTTGTAGTGGCAGATAAAAGCAAATGGGTTCAGGAAGATCTAATGGTGTTGTCTGTCTGGCAAAGCTCACTTGATACTTTTATCTTGGATTCTTACTCACACTGTGAGACGGCAAAACAATTGTGGGACACCTTACAAAAGGTGTATGGCAACACTTCAAACCTTACCAGAATCTTTGAAGTGAAGAGAGCAATCAACAACTTGCAGCAAGAAGAGATGGACTTCACCAAACACCTTGGGAAGTATAGCCAGTTGTGGTCTCAACTTGAGATGCTGAGGCCAAGCACCACTGACCCTACAACACTAGAAGAGAGGCGTGAGTAAGACAAGGTCTTTAGACTGCTTCTCACACTTAACCCAAGCTTCAATGACCTTCTCAAGCATATCTTGAGAGCTAAGGAGCTTCCAAGCTTTGATGATGTGTGTGCTCAACTTCAGAACGAGCTAGGTACAAATGGTCTTTTTGGTGGAAAGGGGGAGATGTCTATGGCAAGCAAAGCTGAGAAGGTGGAGAGTGCTTCTGTCAACAAAGCACACTTCAAACCAAGAGGAGGAGGAGACAAATTCGTGACTTGTGAGCACTGCAGGAAGCTAGGCCACTCCAAAACCAATTGATGGATCTTCCATCCTCACCTTAGACCTGCTTCAACCAACCGATACAACCAGGCCAGAGCACATGAAGCAAGAGCTCAAGAGACCACAGTACCTAGTGGCTCCACATCTCATGCCATGTCTTATCCATCTCCTGATGATGCATTCATCCGCAAGTCAGACATTGAGGCTCTTATAAAGGCTCTCAATGCAAACTCTGGTAACACTAATATCAATCTCATTCACAATGCATCTCACACTGCTAGACCTTTGATCATTGATTCAGGAGCGCCTCATCATATGATTAGGGATGCTAGACTGATTGGTGATGTAAAACCAGCTCTTGGCAGTGTAGTAATTGCAAATGGTGATAGAATACCCATAGAAGGAGTAGGAAATCTGAAACTGTTTAATAAGGAATCTCAAGCTTTTTACATGCCTGCCTTCACTTCCAACTTATTATATGTTAAGAGAGAAACTAATGATCTAAATTGCAAAGTTATCTTCAATCCTAATAATGTTTTCTTTCAGGATATTAAGACCAGTAAGATACTGGGAAAAGGTGTGAGCAAGGGAGAGCTATATCTGCTTGAAGACACCAAAGTTTCAGATTTATCTCGTGCTTTCAATTCTGCTTCTGTTTTAGCTAGTGATGTGTTATGGCACGCTAGATTAGGTCACCCTCATTCCCATGCCTTAGGTCTGATGTTACCTAATCTATCTCGTAAGAATGAAAGTTGTGAGGCTTGTATTCTTGGTAAACATAAGAAATCTATTTTTCCTAAATCAATGACTATATATGAGAATTGTTTTGATCTTGTGCACTCTGATGTTTGGACAGCCCCTTGCGTGTCTAGGGAAAACCATAAGTATTTTGTTACATTCATTGATGAAAAATCAAAATATACTTGGCTCACCCTGATCCAAACTAGAGATAGAGTTTTAGAAGCTTTTATTAACTTCCAAAACTATATATCTAACCATTTCAATTCCAAGATCAAAATTCTCAGGTCTGAATAATGGGGGGGAATATACAAGCAATGCCTTCAAACACCACTTAGAAAAACATGGGATAATCCATCAAACAAGCTGCCCATACACTCCCCAACAAAATGGGGAGATGATGTGGTATCAGCATGCTATTTGATCAATATAATCCCAACCAAAGTTCTCCAAGATTCCTCTCCCTTTCAGGTTTTAAACAAAACTAAACCTCCAATTGATCACTTGCGTGTGTTTGGGTGTGTTTGTTATGTCTTGACACCCGGAGAAATGAGAAACAAGCTAGAAGCCAAGAGTGTCAAGGGCATGTTTATTGGATACTCCCACGTGCAGAAAGGTTATAAGTGCTACATCCCTGATTCAGGAAGAGTTATGGTCTCAAGGGATGTTAAGTTTGGGGAATCTAAGGGATACTATGAGGAGAAGAGTTGGGAAAGACTTCAAGATAGGGCAAACAACTTAAGGATAATCCTGGAGAATCTAGGCATCAGTCAGCCTCAGAGCAGTGAGGTGCCAATGACTTCTCCCTCACCACCAGCTGCTGGAAACAATGAAGAAGCAACACCAGTTGTTGAAACAACCCATCCTGATCCTGAGGGGGGCAATGAACCTGAATCACAGTTGCAAGAAGGAGATGACTCAGCAAGCACACATGATCAAGATGGAGCTGAATCTGATCAGTCCAGTGAAGATCAATGTAATGGAGATCAAGGACAGGAAGATGCAGTTGTAGAAGAGCAACAGATTCAACCATTTAGAAGGAGTACAAGAGTGAAGAAACCATCCAAGTGGGTCGACACTAGAGTGTACTTCAACAACAATGCAGTGGCTCACCCTATCCAAGCAACCTGTTCTTTTGCGAGTTATCCTCAAGAGCATGTAGTCTTCATCAGCAATCTGGATCAAGAATATCTTCCAAACAATTATGAAGAAGCCATGGAGCATGAAGAGTGGAGAAAGTGAGTTGGAGATGAAGTTGGTGCCATGATCAGGAATGATACTTGGTATGAAACTGATCTTCCCAAAGGGAAGACAGCTGTTACAAGCCGCTTGCTCTTCACCATCAAGTATCTTGCCAATGGAAAACCAGAAAGGAGGAAGACAAGGCTGGTTGCAAGAGGATACACTCAAGTCTATGGAGAAGACTATCTGTATACCTTTGCACCAGTAGCTAAACTTCACACCATAAGAATTCTACTTTCTGTGGCAGTGAACCTAGAATGGGATTTATGGCAGATGGATGTCAAGAATGATTTTCTTCAAGGAGAGCTAGAGGATGAGGTTTACATGAGGCCACCTCCGGGTATGGAGGATATGGTCAAGCCAGGGAATGTCCTAAGGTTGAAGAAAGCAATATATGGATTAAAACAGTCACCGAGAACGTGGTATCACAAACTGAGTACAACTCTCAATGGAAGAGGGTTTGTAAAATCAGAAGCTGATCATACTCTCTTCACTCTCACAAGCAAGCGAGGAATTGTGGTGATACTAATCTATGTGGATGATATTATCCTCACAAGAAGTGACAAGGAAGGTATCATCTCTACTAAAGTTTTTCTTAAGTCTACCTTTGATATTAAAGATTTGGGTGAGCTAAAGTACTTTCTAGGGATAGAAATATGTCGCTCTAAAGAGGGGCTTTTCTTATCTCAAAGAAAGTACACACTTGATCTTTTAAATGAGGTAGGAAAACTTGGAGCAAGAGTAGCTAAAACACCACTTGAAGAAGGCTACAAAGTCTTGCGTGAGGGGGAGTTTGAAGACAAGCCATTTGGAGACTTCAAGCTTTATAGGAGGATGGTTGGGAAGCTGATCTATTTCACTATTACAAGACCTGACATTTGTTTTGCAGTGAACCAAGTCAGCCAGCATATGCAGGCACCTAAGATTCATCATTAGAATATGGTGGAAAGGATCATGAGATACCTAAGGGAGGCTCCAGGTCAAGGTGTTTGGATGGGTTGCAACAAAAGCACAGAGATTGTGGGATATTGTGATGCAGATTGGGCTGGTGATAGAGTAGATAGGAGGTCTACTACAGGCTATTGTACCTTCATTGGAGGCAATCTAGTTACTTGGAAAAGCAAGAAGCAAAAGGTGGTATCATGTTCAAGTGCCGAGGCAAAGTATAGAGCAATGAGGAAGCTTACTAGTGTGCTCATTTGGATCAGAAACTTGTTAAGAGACTTAGGCATAGAGACATCAACACCAATTACCATTGTAAGGAATAAATGTAATTAGATTTTGATGATGCTAGGTTATTTAGATTAGAATTTTAGAGTACCCCCAATTAGATTTTATGTATTAGTACTTTCTGTTGTAAGTATTAGTATAGTCAACAATCAGAGTTGCTCGCTTGTGGATCCGATCAGAGTTGCTCTTCTATGGATCTGATCAGAGCTGCTATGAGAACTGCTTTCAGAGTCGCTCTTGGAAATCATGAGAGTTGCTCATCAGAGAACCATCAGTGTTGCTCTTCAGAAACTCGTCAGAAGTCTACATCAGAAAGACATCAGAGTTCGATGAATAGCTTCATCAGAACTCAACATCAGACAAGCATCAGAGTTCGCAAACCAGAGCCCGACTTGAAGCTACATCAGAACTACTCTTCAGAAAGCCATCAGAATCCAACGTATCAGAAGACTCCGATAAGAGTCCGACTAACACTTAGAAGAATTTCAAAGCTACTTCCAACGGCTGGGAAATTCATCAACGGCTAAAAGATTGTGCATGAAAGGAAAGCTCTTAAATGCA